GAACTGATGATGAAAAGAGAACGAAAAAGATCTTCAGACATGTCTGATGAATCTAAGAAAGAGAGTGATTGCAATCGTTGATATATGCATTCATCCTCCAAATTACAAGATCGTACAAGATCGAAGATTCATTTTTGGTTCAGTTTCTGTTTTCGATCGACGAAATTTTTTCATGAACGATACCGCAAATCTCATTTAACAATGAAGTCTATCAGTAATAAAAAAATGGTTCATTCGGTAAAAAAAAAGATGCGAAAGTGTAACTGCTGAGGTTGATTTTATTGACATTCGTAGTTTCGCTTCACCTGAGTATTGCCTTTGTACTTTTTTTTTCAAAATTGGAAAATACTAACTCCCTTCAGTCAATTAAGTGCGTCGTTCTTCAATTGTTTATTGAACTTTTTCATCGAAGAACGAAGTAATTACTACAAAAGATTAGGCTCATACGAATGTATTATACTTTTTCAAACACTAATATTTCTTTCTTTTTCTCGTACAAGAAGTAAATATCTCCATTATCAAGAAACGAAATGGACCATTTTAAAGTCTTTCAAAAGCTCCATCGTTCATTCTAAAATGATTTTCTGACTTTATGATCTGGTTTTTTACGATCTATGTATTTCTTTTTTGGACGAAAAATGCTTAATCTATCAAGCCTAGTCAATCAAATTGATGCAGAATGAATGATTTTCTTAGAAATCTGTGCGTGAACAAAACTTTCAGCTATAGAAGTTAGGGCGTAACTACAAGATTTTCCCTTCGAGAAAGAGAACAGCAAGTTAGCGAAAGAAAACTTTTACGAGAGGACAAATATCGTTATTGGCTGAGAAAGAGATGTTTACAGGGTGCATGGCAACCCCCTGTCTTCCAACGATCGCACTACTAATTGAAGTTCACATAACAAGAAATGGTCTCGTTGTCCGACGAAGAAAAATAATAGTTCAGTTTGGAAAATGAGTTCTTTTTTAAAAAAATTTTCTGTCCTTTCGCAGTCATTCCTATAAGAAGTCTTACGATGAATATTTAATAAAAACTAAAGGAAATATTTATAAACTATTGAGAATGCTATTCTATATGGTTTATTTTCCAGTTTCATCTCTAATAACCATTTGATACACTTATTTGAATCACAATCCCAGGCTTTGTCTTGAAATATTCAGCTACTGAGTCAAAAAAATATCATGTTGAAATAAAATTGATATATTTGTTTTAACGATAAATATTATCACGGCTTTTGTTGACAGAATTAGTATACTACAGACAAATGCAACAGTATCCCTTATCATATCAAACAATAGATAATGTTGTGAAGAAAAAAAATGTGCTTATCGTTGACTTTCATTTAATCAAATGAGTTCGTAAACCGTTTTGTATTCGACATTCCACAATCATGCCTCACTGTTGGCTTGACAGATTTCCAATTGAATTAGTTTACAAAATATTCAACTATTTCTTGGCACATGAAATTCTTCTTAATTTTACGAATGTCAGCTCATATCTTGATGCGGCTATAATCACATATATAAACTATCGAGTTGACTTTACATCAATTCGCAAGTCTTATTTCGATCTTGTTTGCCGTCGTATTCGATCCGATCAGATCACGTCTCTTACACTCTCAGATCATCATGACACACCTTGTCAAACAAAGCTTTTTTTTAGTCATTTTCAAATCGAACAATTCAATCGTTTACGATCATTAACATTGCCTGATGTCAAAACTGATTGGTTGCAGCATGTTCTTTCAAATTTGAATAAACTTGAATGTCTGAATTCTCTTTCATTTGTGACTAGTGAATATACGGATAATGTCTATCGACGAAGTGATAGTATGACAAATTTCACAAAAGAATATCGTTTTAATATGATACCTTTGGCTCGTCTTCGACAATTAACAATTAGTAACTGTTCTATCAATGATCTTCAGAAGATTTTTACTGAAGCTTCACAACTTCAATCACTCAATATTCATTTGTATTCGATTTCTCAAAATGTCAAATCTTTTCCAACTTTATCTCGATTAACTAGACTCATTCTGAAGATTGACAATAAGAATAATCCTCTTTTTACAACTAATGGTAAGTTGAATAAGATATGAATATTTTATTAGCAATGTTCTCTCTGGATCTATTTTAGTTCTATCGATGAACACAATGGAATTGTTTCTTTGGAAGTTGCCTCGTCTTCGACATTTTGTTTTCAGTGGAAAAGTTCATATTGATGTTGCTAATGGACAACGATGGGAAATATTGGCAATCGATTTAGTTACATTTCATTTTAATTTTCAACTCGAAATTGATCGCATTAATGACATTCTCGAATCATTTTGCACACCGTTTTGGTTGGAAAACAAACGTTGGTTTGTCGCTTATAAAGATCATCGTCTTTTCTCGGTACCTTATTTTGCCGATACGATTGCTTCTTTTCCTTTTTATCCTCCTGTTCATTCAACAGCACCTGATGATAGATTCTTTTTCCAACATATAAAACACATACAACTTCCAGAAGTTCCAACTGTCGATCTTCATTTTTTCACTCATATTGAAACATTGGAACTTAGATGTACAATTCTATTGACAACTCTTCAAACAATGATTGATCTAAGTCGAATACGACATTTGATTCTAGATCGGTTGATAGAGCTTTCTAATCTACCAATTCTATCAAATATCATGCCCAATCTCCATAAATTGTCACTGAATGATCAATGTAGAAATATTCTTGGAAGTGTTCGGGAGGTGCAACCAATTGAACAGATTCGATCGCTTCAACTAGAAGATCTTCGGAAGATTACACGTGTTTCGGAAATTACACAGTTATGTCGAATATTTCCATGTGTAGAACATTTACATGTGAACCATATAGATTCGATAAACTACATTGGTAGTTTGATCGATGGATTCGAACATTTATCGAGTGCATCTTTTCACTTACCTTTGGCAGGTTCAGATCGAATCCGTTTGCTTCGTAGACCAAATATGATAGTAGATGGTTCACGTTGGTTGACAAATCATACAGTTGTATGTCGTACCATTTGTTTTAATCAATATTTAGTGCATGTTAGTATTTGGATTGAAGAACAGGTAAATCTTTCACGATCCTAGAATTTGTTTTTCGTTTAGTGTTACATTCTGCACTCCGTTTCTTTTGTAGCCAGTACGATCTATTTGCTGTCCTCCTCGACTACCACGCCGTGAATATTTGTTGTATCGGTTACAGTGGATTATAGGCCACAATCGCACATCAATATTTCTTGTTACTTATATCATCTATGTCATTTTTGGCTTACTCTATATCCTTCGCAGTCGTCAGAATCCTTACATTGATAGCGTAAAGAAGTTATTTGGCCTTGGTAATTATTTATTCCTTGGTATATGCATATGCTGTGTGGTGATAATTTCCAATTGTTGTAAAAAATTCGCCACTTGTGCTATCATCCTAATCTACATATTTTCCATAACCCTATTCATGTTCGCTTACAGCCTGAGATCCATATTTCTCAAAAATTCTGCCATTCGTGCCGATTTCGTGATACCTTTCATCAGTGCCCATTGGCCAATCATTCTCCTAATATATTTCGTGGTACTTACTGAGTTGAATTATTTGCTACAGTTGTATAAAAGCTAAGCTACTTTTGGACAATTTGTTCTAAGTCAGAGCTGCCACCTCTTCTGCTTTTTGAAGTTTTTCCTGTTTTTTTTTCTGTTGTTTCTGCTTTTTTTTATACGGCGTTATTTATTATTTCAATCAACATTTTGCACTTAAAATATCTTCGTATCTATAATTGTTAAAAAAACCATATAAAAAATTACTAATATTTTTGTGCCATTCTAATTCTTTCTATTTGATACAGGTGATTTTTATTTTCTACTGACTACAAACTATTTCTGGATAAAGAATATGGTACGAGCAAAGATAATAAGACTAATCTAAGGACTGGATGTTTTCGGGAAAAATTGAAAAAAATAGAGATTTTGAAAGTTGTGTGTAGTGCTGTTTTTAAATCGTGCTGATATCGAAAAAGAAAGAAATAAGTATTTTTACAACGAAATATGTAATTTTTGTAGAAGTAGACGGTGAATCTTTTGATAAAAAAATAAAGCGTGAGCGATGAGATAACACTTAAGATGTTAACAAAATACTGAGACCTTCTTTTATTACGAGCTACCCGTTAGTTTCATATCATAAACATACTTTCTACTGTCTTTCTGCATTTCGATGATAAAACTTCTTTTATTTTCTGCTTTTCGGACTTCAAAAGGTGACAGCACTGGTCCAGATACTTTTTGAAGTACCTGTATCTTTGTCACACTTCTGTCTACAATGTTTCCTTAAAGACTTCAATATGATGATTAGTTAAATTCTACTTCTTAAACGGATAAGAATTACTACTAGAGATTATTTCCTAAAGTTTGCTTCGAATTATTTCTATATTATTATAAGGATAGACGAAAACGTATGACCAAGGGAATCTTATTGTATGAAATCCTATCGGACGAAAATCTAACATAGTGATTGTTATACATCTTTATTGTAGGGAATAACTATATCTGTCTATGACAGTCCTGTTTAAGTTAATATCATGAATGATTATGATGTGTCGATACAATGTTTAGTTGAATGAGAAACATATACATAATGAAAAAGAAAATGAGAATTATGACAGTTTTAAGTTTAGAGAAGACGCTGGAATTTTTGTACGCGATGATTACTTGTGTCTGAAACATATAAGTTAAGTGATGCATCTAGGGCGATTCCTGCTGGAAAAGTGAGTGTTTGAGATGTCTGTCCCGATACACCCGTTCCAGCAATAGTACGTGCAGTTGTATTAACTATTGGATATCGACAGAAAAGTTGAATACGATGGTTATTGTTGTCGACGACAAACATATTAGTATATGAATCAAGTTTAATAGAAACAGGATATGTGAGATGGGTTGAATCACTGCCAGATACGCCGTCAACACCTGCCACTACAGTTCCGGTTGTAGCACCTACTAACCATTGTACTATTGTATGCTGTTGTGAATTTACAACATAAACAGTACCTACGGCGACCGATGTGTCAACAGTAAAGCCTTGTGGTTGATTAAGTTTATTGGCACCGGCACCTGTTCCTTGGTTACCAGCTACTGCTGATCCATTTTTCCAGATAGCTGAGTTAGAATTATCGCAAGCATAGATTGCATTATTAACGACTTGAACTCCCCACAATGAACCATGAGAAGCCCAGCTTGATGAAACTGTCAATCCTGTTGTGCTACCGTTGGGAAAATATTGTATTCGGTTGTTGCCCGAATCAGCAACATAAATATTTTGTGATGAATCAATAAAGACATCTCTCGGTGTATTGAGAGAAGTTGCACCTGAACCTTGAGTGCCAGTACCAACAATTGTTGTACCGCTCGTTGCTCCTGATAACCATCGCTGAATACGATGATTTTGAGAGTCGGCAATATAAAGAGCACTATTTGTTGGATCAACATAGATATTCCATGGTGAATTTAATTGACTGGAGTTACTACCTGATGAGCCAGTAAGTCCAGCTACTGTTACACCATTTGTATCCCATGTCCAAGTTGCACCTAAAAGAATTATTCGAAATATTCGTTTAGATCTATATTGAAGTAAATATGTTTTAATAAACGAACATGTTGGAGTTGCAGTGGTAGTTGACGTCGAAGTTGTCGATGTAGTTGTCGATGTAGTTGATGAAGTTGTCGATGAAGTTGTTGATGTAGTTATCGATGTAGTTGTCGATGTAGTCGACGTAGAAGTTGTCGATGTAGTTGTCGATGAAGTTGTCGATGAAGTTGTCGAAGTGGTTGATGTAGAAGTTGTCGATGTAGCTGATGTAGAAGTTGTCGATGTAATTGATGTAGACGTTACTAAATTAATTGCAGAGATTTATCTATTATCTTAGAGTTGCAAAACTAAGATCTCCTATATGTATATCAATTTTTCTGTTATCTATACTTGATAAGTTCTTACCTTTTATAGTACTAGAACTAGTGGTTGTTTTTCCGGACGTTAACCAAAGTGTGACTATAATAGCCAATACTAATCCAGCTAATAGAGAACCAAGTAAAAAACCTCGAAGCCACCATGTACAGCAATGATTTGATCCAATTTTTCTACATAGAATGAACATAAACATACCAAACGTAGGGTAAATATGTAAAAAATATTTGATCGAACCAAAATTTGAAAAAAAAAGAAATTAATGTAATTTATAGTTTGAGCATCAACTGATGATCAAAAATGTTAATGAATAAAAAAAGATTAGATTCGAATAGTTATTTGGTAAAACTTCATATACATAGCTTGCTTATGTTCTAACGGATAAAAGTCAAGTTGTGAATTTTCAAGCTATTACATCCTCTGGTTGTCACTACTTTCTTCTTCCTATATAAACATGTACAGACGCACTATAAAAATACTAGACATACTGTAATTTTCACCAATATTATCGATTATAAACATCAATAAGTTATTTACTTTCTACGCTTTTTTTCCAAATTTCTAGGGTTCTTATCAAATAGCGAATCTACATTGAAGCATATTTCGAACCGATTGAGTTTTCTTTAACCGGATCGGAATGGCCGGTTTTAAAACTTCGACTGGACTAGAACGGAAACCGGTGAATTGGCCAGTCGGGTTCCAAATGTGACTTGAAGTGGCTTGTAGTGGTTCCTTTGAAATGATTTTTCTCTAGTGAAAATCCTTAACGTTTCCTTGCCAGATCCTCAACGGATCTAACCAGGATTCTTGAAGGGTTTTCTATTTTTTCCTGACGAAACGACAAAATTCTAAAGAAAACGTATAGCCACGAAATTTCAGGATTCAATCAGGTTTCTGAAAGTTTTACTACTAGTTTTATATCAGGAATCGTTCAGGAAACCGTAATTCTTGAAAGAAACACGTAGTCATCGGATATTACAGATTTTGACTGAATTGGTACGAATTACAAGTCTCTGTTGTACATTTTGGCGTGGGTATGAGTATTTGTTAATCGTATCTTAACTCGCATCCCGATCCACACTTTAGTGTTGTATGTTTCTTAAGATCTTCCTCTAATTTACCGATAATTCTTGACAGAACTTCCGTGTCAGAGTCCAAAATAGATCCTGACCAGAACTTGGCAAAATTCCGTCTGTTATTCCTGTCAGGATCATAAATTCTAAGTGCATAAACAAAATCTGACCAGAATCTCGAGGAAATCCTGACAGATTCTTCCAGGATTTCTCAAAGAATGAACAGAATTAAGGCTAGGGTTGGCTTTTATATCAAAGAGTTCTTTTTTTCTTTTACAGAAAATGGCTTCAGATAAGATCTCATGATTGGAGACTTTGAGAATCTCTCGATCCATATTATCGTTGAGCCAAATGACATTGGAGTGGATTGAAGCGTACTTTAATAATATCCGACTCATCATGAACGCCTCATGTAGATCTTTTGGGAATATTTATCCTAGATAAACTATTATCTTTTACTGTAAACTGTAGAGAAAGGTGATAACAAGTTTTTGCACCCAGAACAGAATAGATACAAATTAGCAGAGTAAGGCCTCCTCTATCTAATAGGCAACAGGGCTGCCACAGAGTATTAGTGTGGCTGTTAGAATGCGGCTAACAAGACGACTAAATTCCACATTCACGTCCACAATACTTGCATAGTACTATTCATACTTTATAGTTAGATAAAAACGTCTTTGACGAAAATAGTAAATTTTTCGTGACTTTTATTAGTATGCTGTGCATTACATCTAGTGAACAGGAAAAATATTTAAATGGAATATAGAATTTTGATATAAGAACTGCACCCAAAAACGGGATATGTATGGCAGCCCTGATGTTACATGTATTATCAAGTACTATTTCGTATTATTGGAATCTCAATAGAAGGCGCCATTTTACTGCAATAAAACTAGATAACACATACAAGATTAGATAGAGAAAGCTTTCCACTGCCAATCTGCATACGCCTCATTCTGACACCAAGTATCCGATTGGCATTGGTAGTCGTCTTTCGATATATTCAGTTATTAGAGAAAACAAAATTGTTTATCTTATCTTATCTTATCAAATAAATTTCGAATCATTATAATGTTTAGAATCATAGAATCCGAAATCAAGATCAACCCTTGATATTTTTTCCACTTATTATTTTATCGATAAGTGATTTACCTACGATCATTTTGCATTCTATTTTCTTCAGCATGACCAGTGTCATTACTCCAGTCGTTAAGATTAGAGTTAGGTGAAAATTGACGAGAGATAGATTGTGCCGATGTTGGAATTTCTTTTTGCTTGTCGTTCAATGGGAGTTCTTCGTTCAAATCACTCGTTCTCCAATCACTTAATTGTAATGGTGGCTGCAAGGTAGTAATAGCATTCATAATAAAACCTACACTAATGCCAACTTTTCAATGCATCGAAGTAAATTTACATGCGCCTGAGAACTTATATGAGATCTTCTGTTGATAGGATTATTGTTGATCAAAGATTCGAATAAAAATTTGTTTTTTATGCCATACCCTATCAATGGATGCAATATATGGCTTCAGCACAAGTAACAAGCTAATCAAGTGATCCTTATTCCAAACACAAAATCAAATTATACAAAACAAAAAAACATGTTGTTTTAAGTTTCATCAAACCAATCATAAATTAAATTTCATATTGTTTTAGAGACAAGCAAACAGAAGCGCGCAGCAAAAAAAACATCAGTGCTTGAATAAAAACAGAAAAACGTGAAAGTCAATATAGAATCATATCAGATATGACACATCATTTTTATTATATTGCAAAATAATTAATGAAATCAAATATTTGGTTTTAATATCCATCATATGATAACCAGTCATGAACAACATATCAATAGATATGACTATTTACTAACCTTAAAAACAAAATGATTTTATATGTGTTTTTCAATTTTAGAAATTTTATTTTCGATAAAGTAATATTTGTAAGAAAAACAAACAATAGAACATTTCTCTTGACTTGAAAATCTAATATTCTCTGAGTAGTCGGTGTTCTCACTAATTTCACTAGAAGAATCCTTATCTTTTTTAGCTTTGAAAAGTATGATTTGGCGAAATTTTTCAAAACTTGAGAGGTGGATAAATCATGATAAGTATATAATAAAAGTTGCCATAGATTCAAAATCCTCGAATAATTTCATTTCGAAAATCGTGGGAGTACGCAACGAATGAAAATGACCTAAATTTCTTCCTGCAAAAATTCATATTGTCTTTTTTTAGAATTGAAATCTTTTTCTGTGTCAAATAGGATCAAATCTGGGTGCCTGTTTTTTTTTTCCTTTGAAAAATATTGTTGTTAAGATTCTACATAATCAGAATAGTAGAAGCACTAGAAGAAAATCAATAAATAATGCTTTTGTTTTCAAATGATTTTTAATTTATAAAATCTGGCAAACTTTGTAAAAATTCTATAATCAAGAGAGAAAAAAAAACATCCATCCTAATTTGATATAATAACTTATGAAAAAATTGGAACTCAATCGATCGTACTCTACGAAAAGCAAGGGAAAAAAATTTCATCTTTTCTTTATTTGAAAATCTGTCTTTGTGAAAAACTGCAGAAATGATTAGTTCTCATTTAATGGAATTTTCTTTTTTCAATTTATTTTTCATATGCAATAAGGAAGAGTTGACTTTTTAAAATATATCTACTTGATAAAAGCTATTTTAAATTTACATATCAGGCATAAAAGAATAAAAATCGAGAAAAAAAATTGAAAATTATTGGTTGGAAAAGTAAGGACACTCCTCAAATATTTGTGTTCACATCAATTAATAGATTAAATTCTTGCTAGAAATGTATTTTGAAAGTATGCTAATAACTTACCTGTTGATGAGTAGTTTTTATATAAAATAGTTCTTTTTATACACTATTGAATTTTTTGTCATAGATTTTCACTGCACATTACTTTCGAAAATTTTAAAAGAAGAGAACTTCTTTATTAATTAAAATATTTTAAATAATATTATGATGAGAAATAGTGCTTAAACATTTTGATATATAAGATGCACTCGATGAGAGTACTAAGAGACTACAAATATTGTCATTGTTTTTCTTATCATATATAATTATTTAGAAGAATGTACCTCTATGATCTTCTGAATGTTCATGAGAGATATATTTTGACTTTGAAGGTATGAGCGATTCATAACAGAACGGTACTTTGTATGTAAGGATGTGGGTGTAGGTGTTTTCCTTTTTACAATGACACATTCACTCACACCCCCCTTTCTTCATTTTATTCTTTTCATACGGACAAAGTCAAATTCAGATGAGGAAGATTATTGTTTTTATTTATTTTAAATGACAACCTTAAAAATGATTTATGAATCATGCCAAAATATTTGAAAAATAGTTATTGCTTTAATTCAATATAGCGACGAATTAAATCAGTAAAAGTAACTTTAAATACATTATACATGCCATACTTGAAAGCTGAATTCAATTATCGGATTACTTAATATCTTTATATATGAGTTCAACTATTGAAGATCTTTCAGATATTCAACCATTCGTCTCTCATTGAGGTTGCCACGGACTCACACATAGGATATCGTTCTCGAATATCTCAGAGAGTCTTCACTAATTGAATTAAACTTTCAAATTTGACAATTTCCTAGTAAATAAGGTTAAGCAAACGAAATAAATTTGTTTTAACACAAATTAAAACTCTCAATATTTCCATATAAATACAATAATTTGTAAAGATTTTTCTTATTATCTTATCATTCGAAAAAAAATCGCTTTTTCAATAAGAAAATAAATATAAACAATCCCAAAAAATCAAACAAATATTAATAGTAATGATTTACTATAATTAGAGCACTGATTTGAAGGACATTTTCTTGGAACCGGCGAGTTTAGAATAAAATATTTTTTTTGTTGAACCTATTAGATAAAAAAGTGTTGATTGTTGTTTTGAATAAAGAAACAATTAGAATTTTTTTCGATTCCAATGATAAATGAGAATGAGTAATTTTACCTTCAAGTTCTTATCAATTTACTATTTCGTAAATCAAATAAATCAAGGACAATGTGTACTATTTATTGATTTTATTTGTTTCCATTGAATGGACACAGCAAATAATTAATATTGAAAAATACTTTCTTCTTAATCAGAAAATTGTCTTAATTGCGATTAGTTTGTCTTTTTTTATAATGAAACGATCAAAACAAATATCTTTTTTCTTATTGAATTAAAATAAGAAAAATCATTTTCATAGCAATTATTTAAAGATGATTATCGAAAATTGAATTGTTTTATATTGAATATGAAGGTATGTTTTAATTGAATCTATTTATTATCAATGATAATAAAATAATATTTAAATGATCGAAATAAGATTCAAAACACAAACAGATAATTCTATTTTAGTTTCTATTGAGGTATCAATTTCATTTTTATCTCTTTGAGTTGTTATTTAAATGTGTACTATCAAATATTGCGTACAGTTTATTGTTGAAACAAAAATCAAAGAATCTTTATTAACAAATAAGAAGATCAATAATGCTTTCGCCACGTATTATATTATTTATATTAATTATATTACTATTATTAAATTGTTATTGTCAAGGTCGAAATGAAATTCGTAATGCTGTTAAAGCTAAAGGTAATAGAAAAGTCAATGCAGGAAGACAAAATGTTAGATTGGTTAAAGATAAAACTCGTGGAAAAATTGATCGAACTGATGCTAAAATAAATAGAAAACGAAAAAATACCAGGCGAAAAATGCAAGTCATTAAACATATAATTAAATCATAATATATTTTATTTATTCTATAAGAACATCATTTATCATTTCAATGTAATTTACTTTTTTTTTAATTTAAAATAAAATCTTATTTATCATTATTCAGTTGGAATATAATTGTTTTTCAAACAAATAATTAACAATTAACTTATTTAGATTATTTTTATTGATTTATTCTTGCTTATTATTTATGACAATCTCTATTGAATAATTATCACTAGAGAGTTGCGAGTCCTTCCGGACCCGAACCAACTTTTTCTTTTTTTTTTCAACTCGGTTTGTATTTCGTTTCGAATCTGAATAAAATTATGTGAAGGACGACAACAAGAAATAAGTTAATATTGACTTTTATTCAGATACTATTATTCTCTTGAGCCATATCCACACATCCACACCCCAAATTGACTCAAAACTCATAACATCTTCGAAATCAGCATAAAAACCTGAGTTCAACCGTAAGTGTATATATTTTTTCCGACAGCTTTTTTTTCAACGAAAAATTCGCCCTTGTTCGACTTAGGGATTTATCAAAGACATGAATTCACACAAAAAAGCGTTTAAACCAAGGAAGAAATGATTGGCTTTGTGATTTTCTTGACTTTAATGACTTAATTGACTTAAAATGATTTTCTTGACTTTGATGACGTTAAAATCGTACACTCCCGTACACAAGTCTTGTCCTTCTCGTTCTTATTATGCTATCATGCTTCACACCAAATTTATTACCAAGTAAAGATATAACATAAGAGTTTTATTTCAATATGATCTGTATATCATATTGAAATAAAACTCTTATGTTATATCTTTACTTGGTAATAAATTTGATTTGCATGAAGTATGATAGGATAATAAAAAAGAGAAGGAAAAGACTTTTGTTCAAGGTGAAGGTGAAATTAATAGCTGATTCGAATAATTTCAGCGGTGGTTCATCCAAAAGTCTGTTCTGGAGCTTCAAACCAGTGCTTCAAGTACAAATTGACTAGCTTTATCCAATAGTATTATTAGATTTCCAATAATCCAATCTGTGTTTTCGAAAAATCCGAAATACTGATAGATCAGTAGAAGAGTTTTGGAACTACTATAGTAAATATACCAGCAACTCATCCAAGAATCTGGAAAGAAGTTCTCGTACTTGTCCAGGTATAGCTTAAGAAGCTCTACCTAGTGTATGGAATAGGGCTTGTCGAGTTATACTTGGAACACTGATCAGAAATTCTGGAACACGTTCTTGAATGATTCGATGCTGGAATTACTAAACTCTAATCGTACTTCCTGTAGTAAAATGCCATTATTTTCGGACTTTCGAGAACATGGTTTGAACTATGAGGAGTCTAATTATACTGTTGGATAGAGCTTGCCAAGTTGCATTTGGAACATGTCCTTGAGCAAATTGCCGATGGAATTACTTGAATTCACTGCTAACTTTAATTACGTCTTGAATCTTAAGGAATGCTGTGTCATCTGGACCGGTGAGCTGACCTATAAGATTGTAAAAGTCATCATCATGGTAGGTGAACACGTCGAAAGCAATACATTAGAGTCCACAAATAATGTTCGTGAAGCTGTAAATCTAAAAGTACTGTTCATATAAAATTAAGAAATGATACGTATATAAATGGAGTAACAACGACTGCTCACGCAGAGAAACGAAGAGTGAAAACTGATTGATGCCTTGTACACACGAGCTCTATATATGTATCTTTTCCTTTCATCTGTTTTGTGTGTATATTTGTTAGCAAGGGATGTGAAGAAAACGCTTTACACAATACGTGGTCCAGATTGAATAGGAATCCATTATTTTTTATTCTGTATTAATGTTCCTTTAAGCGTAACAAGCTACCATATAGTATTTTTTTGGTGCTCTTGGCTGTCCTATACTAAGCTCTGTTACAAGTTAAAAGCTGTTGATTGATAACTCTGAAAATTTTCGAAGTTAATATCTTTATAGATAAAATTGGGTAGAGTTCAATATTTATATTCTGTTATTATTGATTCTCGATGCTTCTCAAAATCGGGCACAACATGTATACTGGTTTCGAAGATGTTGAACTCACTCTTGGGTTACTTGGACGTTTATTTGTCTGGACTCTCTTGACTGTCACATGATTTTCATGACTTTAGTGACTTTTCACTTTAATAACTTTGACGATTTAGAAGTCACCCAAGTCAGTCATTTCTCCCTTGGTTTAAACCCTAGAAAGAAAGTTTCAAGATCACATAATGCTAGTGGAATACAAAATAGGAGATTTCTGAGCTGCAAATACAGTGTTTTGACATATTTCAATTTTTCAGTGCACTCACATTGAAGTGGACGAGGGTGAGTTTTTCGTTGAAAAAAAAGCTGTCGGAAAAATTATATACACTTGCTGCTGAATTGAGTTTTTTATGCTGATTTCGAAGATGTTATTAGTTTTGAATCAATTCGTAATTTTTCTGACCAAAATCTTGTGATTTGGATCTCTTGAAGGAAACATTTCTAAAACGAGATATTTTGGTCTTCTTAGTTTCATAACATGCTCTATCGATCTAGCATATAGAGAAAAAACTAAAATTTGACAGGTGCCGATCATAGTCAGTGCTATGATGGACTCTCTCTTAAAATGGCCAGTTTCGGATATTTCCAACTATGCAAAACACGTTAAAAGAAAGAAAAAAATCAAGTTGTTGAAACACGTGAATTTCATATTTTTGGCTGCGTGGGAAGTGTAGACGTGTTTTTCGATGTACTGAAGTAAGGCTTTGAGGCCAGCCAATGTTTCTTCCCCACTTGGAATGATTTGGTTTTCGGGAAGCAAAAATCCATATTCACCTATTGAGCAAGGATTCGACAGCAGTTTATTAAACTTGAATAATTACACTTACCAGTGTCACGAAGTTCGATACCATAGCTAAATGTCACATTAGCTATGCCATAGATCCAATCAATCGTACTACCCGATGTAGGAGAGATAAGTTGAGCCACACTGCCATGCTGATACCGGGTACCTTTAATATTATACAAAAATGATTTCGAAGCAATGAGTATTTCGCAGTAGACAAACCATGCATAGCAGTGAGTGCGTCGATAGCTTGGATAGATCCATCATCTTGTAATTTGAATTGTGCTGTTTTCGTCGTTGTATAAGCTACAGAGAAACGTTGGAAGATGAGATCGAACTTAATATTCGAAGCTTACACCATGGTGACATCCACAGTTGTGAGTACGAATGAAAATTGATATAGTTCACAATTGTACCCCATTGATCAGCGATAAATTTTGCTACTTGAGCTGTTTCAATTTCGGAAAATGCCTTATCACCACAGAAAGTGTCGTCACAAGGATTATTGGAAGAACCGCCTAGAATTAGTTACGTGAAAACGAAGACATCACAATGAGCAAACGACAAACCCACTTTTACACCAATCATAATCCCAATTACGGTTCGGATCAGCACCATAACAGTTCGGAACCGATGTTTTGCTGCGAGTCTTGCGCCATAATCGATCTTGGAAAAAAAACAAAATTTTAATAGAAATATTCTGCTTTGATGTTAATTATCACCTGTTGTCCATGTATATGCATAGCCATCAACATTGAATACAGGCAAAATATAATAATCAAATTGATCGGCTAGATGCGTGATGTTTGGATCTTGAGCATACTTTGACAGAAGAGAATAGGCAATGTAGATGACCGTTGCCGGACTGATCCATTCTCGTGCATGAATTCCTACATACGAATACAATCGAAGATAAACGAGACTTAAAAAAACAATGAACAACAAACCTCCGTCCCACCAAACAGCCTTTTTCGTAGTGACTTTGGTACCGTCATGCTTAGTTGCCATCTTCTTTGATGAAATTTTGAAGCCTTTCATGTCTCTATTTTCGTATGATTTCCCAACGGTAAACGGTGTGACCATTTCTGGATAAGTCGTAACCATCTGATCAACTCATGCATGAATGTCTTCAATAGTGTTATACTTATCATAGGCAAAATCATTCGCATTCGACGATGATCGAGATAAATTTCGTAGAATTCTTTGTCTTTCAATTATTGCACCAATATCAGTCATATGAACCACATATTCGATTTTCACACCGTCCGATATCAAGAAATTAGCTAAATCATCAATTACTTGAGGTGGCACACGAATATCGATCTATTTGAGAGACAAAGTCTATCAATTGTAATGAAGGAAAGCATTTTTGAACAAAAATTTACTGGTTCATGGATGCGAAAGTGTTTCGACCAAAAGTCGATATCGTGTAGGCGGGCTTTACGATTGAAAGCGAGTATTTTAGCAACTTGTTCGTTATTAGTGACATGCAAACGCCACAGCTGATGATTTGCGTACGATTTGGCATAGTTTGCATTCGCACTAAGTATCATGGATAGAATAAGAATGATGAGAGCAGCAGGCAACACTCTCATTCTCTGAGATGAAGATTGACGCATACAAAATGAGAAAACTGGTATAAAATGGTCTATCGTTGTTACATTTATAAATGCAGAGATTTTTGAAGAAAGATAACAGAAACAACAGATAAGATTTCATTGTTATTGTCTTCCTCACTGTTTTTAAAAACAAAAACAAGGTAATTTGATGTTAATGCAACATGGAGTATGATTAGCATGGCAAATTGCATAGCATTGAAGCGTTCATAAAAATGTCGAATTGTTCTATGACTACAGATGATAGAACAGATCTGCGTAACTTTAAAGCCGACGATGCCACTGAAAAATCATATACATTCATCAATACTTAAATCATTTGTTGAACTCTTCGGTACACATGGCCGCCACAAGCAAACACTGTTTCTTAACCGTCGTTCTGGTTCTGTTTACAGCAACGTGTTGAGTATGGAGATCCAATGGACTAAGCCATAACGCTAATTCGCAACCTTACTTTACTCTCCGTAAACTTCTTCGCCAAGAAGTTTATGAATCATAAGGCAGAAATCACAGATAATCGATGGAATATTAAATAGAAGCAGAAGCCAAAAACGAATAGGACGAGGTAAAGATATTTCTGAATGATCAAATGAATTATCATTCTTATTGAAACTATTGTTCGTGAACATGGAGGACAGTAAGAAAAAACTTCAACGTAAACTTGGTGAGGGTGTGGATGTGAGGGTGGGCGAATGGAGGTGGGGGTGGTTGTTGGTGTAGGCATAAAATCTCTCTATATCCACTTGTGACACCCAACACCTACACATCGATATCCACATCCATAGCCAGATGAAGTCATATGAAACAGCTAGAGACTGTCACTTGAATCGAAAATCGAATTATGATTTCTTCACTTTTCCGAAACCTCCGATCTATGCATTCTGGAACGACTTTTCATATCTGGTTGATCGACGAATAAGTCATATGAGTATCTCTATCATAAGAAAGCAAGGTAAGTAGCAGAGGCGTAAGTCAGCTTTGAAGGCAGAGAGGTGTAAGGAAGACTCAGGAAGCCGGCAGCTGGTGTGGGTGTGGATTTCTCAGTGGGTTTTTCATCTTACTGACTGAGATCGACGGAGATGAATGTCATGAGATCTTTGATTACGTGTTTGCTGAATCTAACAGCGTGAACAATATGTTGGGCACGTACTGAATACTGTGAGAGATATTTGCGTCGCATAGTCATGAATTGCATAAAAAATAGATAAGAGCGCCCTTTGCATTGTTATCCAATGAATCAATGATCTGATGTGAGGCAAAAAGTCAGGACTGATGTTTATGCGATATGTTGAAATATTTTTCCGCTCAGTCAGAGTTGATACTTAAAGCTGAGAGTATAAAAGTTCCGCAAAACACTTGCATTGTGAGATAATGCCAGTATGCTGTGTGTCGAACACATTCGTCGAAAGAAAGACAGCGAGAGAATCTCAAAACTGGCTTAACTGTTGTAGACTTTTGCTCTCTGCTCTGGTGCCTCTTCTCATCGGTGTATTCACGATCGTGTTTACTCAACAGCAAAACATTCATTCCAATAGTCAACGCCGTCAAGAGCAACTAAATTTGCTCGACACTCAGCGTCAAGCGATGTTTGTAGCATACATCGATGATATTACTAATTTTCTTTTGAAGTCTGAGTACAACAGTAGTGAACCATGGTATCGCTTGTATGTACGTACTAAGACACTTACTGTTCTTCGTCATCTTGATGTTGAACGAAAAAAAACACATTACTCTCTACTTGTACGAAAGTCGTTTGATTATGGGAAGCAATGAAATTGACTTGCACGGCGCCGATCTGGACGATGTTCATTTTATCGGTCCCTATATGTTAGACAAACTTTATCTGCCAGGCGTATCACTAAAACGATCCATTTTCAATGCATGCCACTTGATCGAAGCGAATTTCGATGGAGGATTGTTAGTGAACACGAAATTTGTTTTTTCATTTCTCAAACGAAGTAGCTTTCGGAAAGCTCAGTTGGATAATGTTGATTTTCAACAAACAACTGTCTATAGGATTAGTTTCTCGAGTAGTTCGCTGGTGGGGGTCGATTTTACTCTATCTGAAGTTGTTCAAGCGACAGATTTTAGTAATGCGGATCTTCTCAGTGCTCATCTCAGTCAAGAGCAGATGATTGGCAAGCATCTGTCGATTATTCCGCACGTGTTTAACCAAGCATGCTCTCCGAACGGATCATTTGCGGCTACTCATAAGTACGATAATTTAATCGTTAATGGTGATGGAGAGATGAATGTAAGTATGTAATATCTGAATGTTGAAGCATAACAGATAAACGCAACCAACTAACGGATGGGGCATAACAAATGATGCTCTTGTTACTTTGTTCACGTCTCGACGAAATCTCATTAGTTAGAGTTGAGCTTTCTTCAAAAGATTCTTCGTGCAATTTTCGCACAAAGAGATACATATTTACCGAATATATTGTCTTCTATTGTTGAAAAACGACATAACTGTATAATACTTAAGTTACACCAGATACAAACAAAATTCAAGATATTCATTATTTTCAATGATACACATATCATTTTGATTCTAACATTACTAGGACTTTGTAGTGACAGACTTCAAGTTTCCATTCTTCGATGATTCGCCCTAATTAACATTGAAACACACTATTTAGATTTGTAAACTGGGAACGTTTCACTAGAAAAGTCCTGTTAGTGCATAAATTACATTTACACATAACAAACGTTATGACATTTTTCAGTAATCATTATATACAATGCTGTTACATTTCAAAAATGACAGTACTTATATTTGTTGAATGCTATATACGGCTTTGTAGAATATTATTCGGTAAATCATTCAGTAATAGCTGAACTCAAACAGAATAGATTCAAATATAATCGAATCACGAAGACCGATATTCTTCATACACCGATCCTTACTTTACAGCATAGATTGCGGCAGAACTAAAGTGTGAAATGCCAATCATCACAGTTTTCGTTAACATAAATAGACACTCCACATAACTAGATGAAACTGTCTGGGATTCCCTCTTTTAGTTAAAGCTGATTAAATCTAAAAATTAGATCTATGTCCTAACTTTGTGCTACAATATCGCTCATTCGAAAGCCGTCTCTTTATGGACATGTTCTCAAAACTTCTACTTTAGTGTTCATCAAATGCGTGGCGTTTAACTGCAGGTGGAAATGGCTCCTTAAAAATGTTTCGACTGAAAAATTCGACTCCAACGCTATTCGGTGCATGTGCGTTCCGAATAAAAGGCACGCGTCGCATTTTTCAAGAGGTCGACATGTCACCCTACTCGTTGCGGATTGATAATCACCGAGCGGCGTTCAATTCATCTGCTTATTTCGGTTGTACCACGAACGCAACTATCGCTAATGTGGAGTTAACCATGTCTTTAGAAGATGGTATTATTCACAAGCGTGTTAATCTTAGTACGTTTATTATTATGTAACAACGCTCGCGATTGACTATGTCTTCCTTTTAGAGTCAATTGATGCCAACGATAATTTATTGTACAGATCTCACACTGCTTCAGATGTCATTCAAAAAAAAAACAAGCAGAGTTCGGATAGTACTTGCAACACAACGACTATACGATGATGGTAGCTACTGTCTGTTTGATAATCTTACATTCTCCATCGAAGATCTGAACTGAAGACACCTCTCTACAAAACAACTGTTTTGTTTCAGGAGACCCATTCAGAAACCTTAATTTTTCGAAGAAAAATTGAAATCGACTTGAGGGTGTGGGTGTGGAGATGCGTAGGAGTCGCATCAATCATCCACAGCCACAGCCACACCACATCCACACTCTAATCATGAATAGTTAGTTTGATTTGTCCAAAAATGTTTATCCGAATTGATTTAAAACTATTATTTAGATCATTTACACAAAATGCAAACAACAACACATACATATTTACATCAACTTAGTGAAATAGATATAATTCTTTCTATTTTAAAGGATTTATCATTTGTTCTATTAGTTTGTTTAATTATAATGGTATTACCTAATGAATTAGGAAAAATTTTGCATTGTATAGTTATTGGCGGTACTGCTGGTGTTTATACTGGTAGTTCATTGTCGATTGATCAAAAACCATAATTTTATTCACAACATTAAGTTTATTCGGTATCCTTCATCCATATTTACTTGGTGTTGCATGTGTTTGTCATGAATGTTATAATTTATTATGCTATTATTTGTTACTCCATCAAAATATCCCAGTTATGCATCAGCTTATATTGCCTTAGCCATTTTTATTTTCTATTGGTATTAATTCGATTGAACTTTCTCTAGATAGAATAATTGTATGTTATCTAAAATATATTTTTCTTAATTATGACGAATAGTTTTCAGTACAATCCATACGGGATTAAAAGAAGAAACACGGTGGAGCCACTTTTCCTATGATAGAAAAATTTCGCCATGACTATCATATAGTTCATAGAAAGACGAAAACCGAATATGTCTAATTCAGCATTGAACATGGATCTTTCTTCTGATACTTTTACCATAGTTCCGGAGCTATTGAAACATTTTTCTTTCCTTCCTTGCATAGATAGTTTCACTTGATAAAAAAAAGATCCGCTTCTGAAATTATTCCTTCAACAGAAATATATATCTTATTTTCTTTCTTTCTTCCATCTGACGGAACTTTTTGAAATGATTGAAAGTATTGTTTTTATCTATTCAGTTGATTATTCCATTCCTTTAGAAGAGATCCGCTTGTGAAACTATCTGTTCAACAGAAATATATTTCGTACTTTCTGTTTTCCGTTTATAAACAGATCTTTCTTCGATCTAGCGGAACTATTGTATCTTATTTATTCAGTATACTGTTTCGCTTGATTAGAAAACAAGCAATTTGTTAGACGTCATTATTGTCGGTATCAGTAAGCAGGAAGAAGGAAGTGGAACAAATATCGAATCTTAAGTTAGGATATTCTATTCATTACTAGTGCATGTTTGTTTGACGTTTTTTCGACCGTGTGTTATTTTTTTTTTAAGCTCAGTTTCTTTTCGTACTTTAGCTGCTATTTCCGTCCACTTTGATGTGTTGGGAGATATTTGTTGATGATGTATCAGCATTCGTTCGAATTTCATTGAGGTTCATTGATAATTTGATTGTTAACTATAAAGTTTGTTTGCATCGAGAGTCCATTTATTGATATTGGCACTTAGAGACGGCATTCTTGGACGAGCTATACATGTGTCTTGTTGCTTGTTATGTGATTAGAAGAATACAAATGTGTTGATGTGTTATTGTTTCAGATCATTAGCTAAAGTAAGAAATTGACTATTTGCAGCGTGAGCAAGACTGGCATGGAGAACATCAGGAACAAGATCAGCTTAAATCGAGTAAAAGAATACGAGGTTTAGTCAAAAAAAATTTGAGTTATAAAATCAAAATAGTGAGTTGGTCGAGTTTTGGTCTTTTCAAGGTTTTTGTAATGGAATAGAAGCAGTAAATACGCTAGAGCACGAAGCCAACCAAGAAAACTAATAATTGGTGAATATCATCTTAATCAGTTGAATAGTGGTTCGGCTACTTGAGTATTACAATGATGAAGATCTTGAAAGAAAATGAAATTTTCGATGAACTTACATAGATACAGGTGACGCCCAGATAAAAAAAACATATTTCATTTATTCCATCATTTATCCGTATCAGATATCTATTTATTTTTAAGCGCTTTTTAGAGAAAGTTTGCTTATGTTCACATATATTATTACTTTTCTATTGACAAATAAGACTGTATTCTAATGTAATTATCCAAAACAATATCGAATTTAACAGATTCTCAAATTTAGTATAGTCGAATCTATGTTCCACTTTATCTAACAATGTTGTGATCCTCTCAATTTTTTTCAATGTGTAGCTTTAATCAATCATATATGAGATCAACACTTTTATTACTTAATGACAAAGCTACGTAGTTCAGGATCATTTAAAGCGAGTATAAAAATCTCTTCGTTGTTATCAACCGATAATATTATTGATAATAAACATTAACCATTTAACAATACAGCCATTGTCAACAAATGAAAAAGTCACTGCAGAAGTTTCACTTGAATTCTGTTCTAGAGATATTGCGTTTCTTTGTTTGAATGGATTGTGTAGGAAATATTCTCCGATAGACTCGAGTAGGCCATTTTGTTTTGATTCTAACATCAGTTTGGCTCGCCATTCATCGTAAGAGATACTTTCCATTTGAATACCACAGCTACGAATGTCCTCGAGGACATTTTGAAATAATACACCGCTACTTTTATTCGTAATATGAATAATTTTTCCATAAGCATCAGGTTGAATATGGTTTAGGGAAATAATACTTTGAACAGCCAAATCAATAGGTAATTCGTTCAATTTCACATTGACTATTGTCTCAGGATAATAGCCTATCTTCATGATTGAGGCAACGAACAAAGTGTTGAAATCATGTGGATTACAAGCTCCTGTTTCAGTGTTGCCACCCATAGATCCTAACCGATAGATGATAATCGGTAGACCCAAATGGCTGGCCTTTGCAATGAGTTTTTCCGCTACCCATTTACTTTGTGCGTAACCACTCTTCAAATGGTCTGGAGAGATATTGTCGATAGATGTTTCGTGTGTCATTCCCGGTGGTAGTACACTTACTGTGGAAATATATTGTATCGGTATACATGTGGATGTGTGAGCAGCAAGACGAATCACCTCACGAGTCCCACATACATTTGGACCGTAAAGTGTACTATATGGAAGAACAAAGTTCACAGTAGCACCACAATGAAAGATGATATCTATCTTATTAGCAAGATCCTCGTATGTTTCATTGTCAAATCCAAAATGATCCTTCGCGAGATCACCTCGCAGAGCGATGATTCGTTCTCGAAAATCGTCGTTCCATAATTGAAGAAATAGCATATTTTGTTGAATGCGATCCAATGGATTCGTCAAAAGTTCACATCGGACAAGGCATACGAATTTGCAGTCGAAAGAATAGACTTTCAGCATTTCAGCTAGTAGAAAGGCACCGACAAATCCGGTCGCTCCTGTAATAAAAATCATAGAAGGAGAACCATTCATATTTCTATGTTTGTTAATTGTTATGTTCAGTTCGAATTCAGAATCTTTCAACAGTCGTGGTATGATTGATTCTGAAGAACAAGATATTTGCGAAGGATCTTTGATGACATTGACTAGCCGTTGGAGAGTCATATTGGGATCAAACAGAAAATTGAGTGGTAAATACACACCCAAATCGTTACGTATCATATGAGATAAACGCAAGCCTGTCAATGAGTCTCCACCTGTTGTTATAAGAAAATGATCATCTTCATTTTCAGACAGTTGTTGTCCAGTTGCTCTTTCAATAATACTTTTCAAACGATTACCAATAGAATTGTCGTCTTTTAGTCGATGACCATAGTACGCAGCCAGTTTATGACGACAAAGCTTCATCGACAATGTGAGAAATCCATTTTCGGATGTAAATAGTTGAAAATCAATGATTAACTTAGATGGAATTTCATGCTTTCGAAGCGATTCTTTGGTGGCGATTGCACGGAGATCGTTCATAATTGCATCGTAAAATAGTTCATCTGGATTATTGGGATCGATTTGTTTCAAATTATATTTAGCAGCAAAAGTTTGAGTATATACTTGATTAGGTACAACGACTGCCTTGACACAGTCTTCAAAGCCATTGCCACAAATATAGATCTGTTCAACAAAGACACTCTGTATATAGATACCCTCAAGGAATTCGGGTGATACAAATTGTCCTTGAGAAAGTTTGAAGAAATTTTTCTTTCGATCAATCACATGTATGTTAGGCTTTCCATTGTCGACGCCACGCAGTTCGACAATATCTCCCGTACGAAAGAATCCGTCTTCTGTGAGTGCTGCTTTCGTTTCTTCGGGATTGTTAATATATCCGGAAAACATTTGCTCTGTTTTAATCAATAGCTCGCCTCGTGGAAACGGTGTGTCGTTGAGTGTGTAACCCATTTCTATAATTGATTCGAGACGATAGTTAATCATAGTCTTAAGAAAGTTATAATTGAATGTTATTCTTCCACATTCTGTCGCTCCATATGCTTCGACTATTTTACAATGTCGAAAGCATCGTTGCATAAAGTTTAATACTAACGGACTAACCATAGCACCACCAATAGAAATAACTCTGCATCGCGTAGGAATTAATTTTGAAAATTGTTCTAGAAGACATTCTTCATTTGCTTTAGTCGTTAATGAAAGAGCTATATTAAATTCGGAATAAATCTTGTTCCAAAATGTTGGTGGCGCGGAGAAAGCCGTCGGTCTGATCAAAATTAATTCTTCCATAAGTCGAGCTACGTTTCCAGTGGAAAATCCAGTACATCCTCCTTCCAAAAATGCTGCAATGGTGGCCTTACGATCCGTTATCCATGCTAGTGGTCGATAGCAAAACTTGACGCGTTCCTCATTGAGTGATAAATTCCGTATTGGATACGTAGCTCGGAAGGCATTTTCGGATATCATTGCTCCTTTAGGAAAACCCGAACTTCCACTCGTATATACCACAGTGAGACAATCACCAGACTCACTGATAACGTACTCCTGTTGTTGAACAGAGCCATATTTTTCAATGTTATCCATGCTATGAATCGAAAGACTATCTTTCCCTACAATTACAATCATAGATTTCTATTATGTTTGCAAATTTACATCGATGTACTTGCCAGAAATGATCTCAGAAATGGGATCCATGCATACGAGATGGCGTAGTGTTGAACATTCCGAATGTAATCGAATAAATTTTGACAACATTTCTTTGTCACATACGACTACTGATATGTGTGTATTATTAATGATAAAAGCCATATCACGATCGTTTAATTGACAGTAAATAGGTACGCTAACAATACTTTGTAAAATACATGCAAAATCAGCAATGATCCATTCCGGTCGATTCGCTGCACAGATGCCCAAATAATTACGTGACGGTATCAAACGTTGTAGCCCGTAGCTAAAATTCTTTATTCTGTCGCCTACTGTTTTGAATGCCTGCCAAGAGTACGAGTTGACATAGATATCGGGATTAGTACTACAGATATCTCTAATGCCCAAGCACGGA